CACCATATATCGATGCTTGGCATTCCCGTCCATGGCTTAGTAGCTTTACATCCATATGGGTAGGGTAGATTAGTTGGAGGTGGGGGTTGGGGTGGTTCCTGCGCTGGGGGAGGGGGTGGAGGCGGTACTCCCGTGGGGGTTGGAGGAGGTAGACCTCCCCCGTCTCCTATCTGAATATCAGCACAGTTAACAAACGTTTCCTGTGGACCATATCCCAGACCACATTTCTTCTTTCCATTCACCATCTCGCATCCCCAGCTGTTGCCGACTTTCCACCACCACTGAAGAACGCATTGTCTACAGGTCAAGTCAGCAGGGAGACGAAGCTTGATAGTCTCGAGGCTCGAGCCATACCCTCTCAATGGAACTCTGGTCTTGCCATCGGGTGTCTTCAAAAGGTAAGTGAACTTTGCCTGTGTGATGGGAGGGGTCCCTATATCACCTACTCTGAACTCAAACCATCCTTGATGATTGGCCGTGATGCGGATCTAAAGGAAATCGCAAATGAAGTTATTGATTAAGTCTAATATACTATTAATAATATTATGATGAGCGATGAAGATGATGGTAATGTAAAGCATGTACCTTCACACTGATTTCCTGTCCTTTGGCGTATTTTCTTGTAATAAGTCCGGTTGCATATCTGAAAAACGCAAAACATAGCAAATATCATCGCTAGAGATTCGGAATAAAACTGTACAATGAAAACCAATAAAGCTTGGCAAACGAAAAATATGAAAACTATAACCAACATAGTGCAATTTTGCTTGACCAGCAAGGAAGTTCGTAGGGTATTAAAGACCTTGGAGTACGATCAAACCGCGTTACTCATCCAACATGCATTGACAATTGACATTCGCCATTTTATCCGATAAACTTTTTTGAAATAGCTATATAAGGGGATTCACTTCGCTATTAAATTAAAAGATATCTGTCATTGAAAACGGCTCTATTTTTTGCATGACAATTTCTTATAAGGAGACTAAAAAAATATAAAATTTAGTCCAAATAATGCGCACAATAAAATGCAATGACGTCAATGAAATGAAAAAATTTCAAAATCAGCATATGCGCATGCGCGTGGGGTGTAGTGATTTCTCGAATGGATGATGGACAAGAAACTTCGAAGAAACCAGTCATTACAGACTAAATTTAACATTTACAATCGATTTTTCCTTTTTCGTCCTCTTTGCTTTAGAAAAATATTATATGGAGCTACTTTTTAAAGTAAAAACATTTAAAAACTTTTTAAAAACATTAGTAAGTTATTTCAGCTATTTTTTACGGTGTAAAAGTTATCTTATTTCACAACTGTTTGATCAGAAACACAACGCAGGTCACGCTAGTTTATCCATCRTTTCAATCACGCCAAAATGTGAAATATTACACTAATTTACTTACAAACACGACCACATTGGACCTTTCTGGCATTCGTCCAAGCAATTTCGTGTTCTATGGCAAACAACGGCTGTGCACATAGCCTTTCTTTTTACTGGGGCAGCGGCACGATCCAAGTATTTCCTGATGAGTGCGCGTAAGAAGACTTCATCCTGCCTCTTTGGTGCTGCATGGCTCCTTTAAACGACCATAAACAGATCATAAAGAATTTATATTGTGAAAATTAGGTGATACAAAATTAACATTGTACTCGCCGGGAAAGCTCACTGGGGAAACTCAATCGATGATAACCGACCATAACCTCATGCAACTGAAACGGACAAGAATCTAGTCCCTTGACGCAAATCTTTGTTTTCCCTTTGGGCTTACGAAAAAAGTTCTATCCGCATGGCGCACTGCTGATGAASTGATGGGTCATCTTTCTTTGCACTGGTCGAAAGCGTCAATTTAAGAAAATATATATTCTGTATATAAACTCGCACTGATAGAGTACAAGCATTAAATGTGTGCAATACTTTCCACTATTTACTACAAAATAGTGTTAATTAAACAATAGAAAACAATAGAATAAACATAATTTAGCAGTATTTAGTGGTATTTATGTTGCACAGTTTTAGTGTTTGTACCAAGTACAACCTAGAAATCATGCTGATAAAGTCTGACAAAGAAAAATACTTACAATGACAAAGCCAGCAAAACAACGAAGCAAAATAGAATCACGGCCGTTTTCTTCGACATTTTTTGACTTCAAAGATGATGCTTCTAAAATCAAAAAGTATTGAAAGTGTAAAATGTCTGATAAAAAATTATGAAAAATTGTAAAAAAAGGGAATAAAGAAAACTATCACTATATGACAACAAATTATAAGATAGATATGTATGTATTAAAAGAAAATTCAGTAATTAACTTCAGCTTGCTTACCTTGATGTTCTGTTCTTCCTCTTGTGGTTCTGCTTGTCCGAGGTACTTTGAGCGAGTGATGGCAAAACTCATGAGATTTCAAACTATATTGGGGAGATGCCCCGTGCTGATAGTTAACCATGCATAAATGACAACACAATGCACCGGGGGGGACTCCCTAATAAAAAGGACGGGGGTCCTCGTCAGAAATTAAGAATTCGAAAAGGGCGTATTTCTTCAGTTGACTGTATGTATATGTTAGAATTTCTACAACAATCGAATCTCTTTAGCACTGTGTTAGCCTGCATTGCGGGTAAATTATGCAGAAATTTCGATAAAACTCGTGAGATTTCAAACTTTATTGAGGAGAATATCAGTGCTGATATTCATCCATGCATAAATGAGATCACACAATGCGTGAAACTTCCAAAACAATATCAACTGCGCAAAGCACAAAGCGTGAAACACGCAAAGTAAATGTTTATATCTTCTCTTGATTCTTCGTGATCAGAGGTGTGATTTTTGTTTCCTCTTATTCTGATTGTTAATGAAAGTTGATGCAGGCCTGGTAGAAGCTCCATTTCAGCCTTATAGTTTGCTAGGTTCGTGTAACGCTCGAGTGAGCTAAAAGCTTAGTACCATAGAACACATGAATCCACATATATGGATGGGACTATTATATTGCATTCATCTTTATTGGGTTCTTGTTGAATTATACTTACAAATTGTCTCTAAATCGCGGCTATTTGTAAGTATTTAGTTTGATTTTATTTCATGTTTTTTATTTGTTAATTAAAGTTGATGCAGGGCCTGGTAGAAGCTCCATTTTAGCCTTATATTCTAGTAGGTTCATGTGACGCTCGAGTGAGCTAAAAGCTTAGTGAGGTATCGTTCAATTAAACGCTCATGTTATATGTTATGTTAATTTATTACTGAGAAAAATAGTGGCACTATTGCTTTAGAGACAGAAAAGAACGAATTCGCGCGCTTTTATTATGTATATGTATCGTCGCGCGCTCTTAGCAAAAATGCGGGTTACCTGTGGTATTACGTCACGATCCCGTGCCTCGCGGGACTACACTAATTTTAGTTTGTAGATCCTCGAGGCAAGGGATCGTGACGTATACCATAGGTAACCCGCATTTTTTCAAGAGCTCGCGCCGATATGCAGGTCATTTAATTTTGAGCGATTTATGCCTGTTGTTATACAGTGTTACACAGTTCACTTCAAAAAACTGGGCCTCGCGCATAACTTATTTACAAATAGCTTATGAAATTTGGCGCATTTTGATATGTGAAACATCTATCGTTCTGAGCAAATGCTTGTGTAAAAATGGCTTTAAGAGTATTGTATGCTGCGGTTTTGATTATTTTCAGAAGGCTATTGAAGTAAAAGCTATTGTTGAAGAGTCCCAGGATTTCAGAGAGCAAACTCCGAGATAATTTTTAAAAGCTTTTTGCTTTTCTAATGACCGTTAAACCTATATATTCTTTAAAAAATGCCGTATTTGTGCTCTTTTTCAGCCTCTTCATTTATAACATATCAAAAGATCTAATCTAAGCAAATGTCACCCGATGATGGCAATAAGTTTGATATGATTCGTTCTTCAACTTTGATTACAAAAAAATTCTTTATTTACAAAATTATCACAACAGTTCTAGGTATTATTGGTTTAATTTAAAGCGTGGATTTCACTAGCGCATAAGCATAGCATAAGCACAGGCATGAGAATCATATGCGCCAGTGAGAACGGGCTCGACATAAGCATAAGACATTGAGCATGCGCACAAGCGTATTATTTCGGTACCAGACTATGCTTATGTCTATGCAGTCCCGTTCTCACTGAGCATAAGCATGAGATAAGCA